TCACAACAAAAGGTTGAGAGTAATTCTTCACATAAACTTAATTCACCCAATTCATTATCTAAATATTAATATAATGGAGGAACATCTTGCTTTCAAATTATAGAATTCAAGGGTTGAAAATCAGGTTGGCTGTAACCCTAACCTTGAAAATTATCTAGTCCAATGTTCTGCCCAATGCTAGAATCATCTACTAGAGTTTATAGGTTAACAAAGCAGTGGTCATTTGTCCCAATTAAAACAAATGCTTCTCTATTCTTCATTTGCTCCCAAATATACTCATGCCAAAGTCAGAGAGGCAAAATGAACTAGCCATTTAAACAGAGTTGCCTACCTTTCTTTCCCTTTTAGGAGTAACTATTTTAGATGCCAGAAATTGAAACAGAAGCTGCCCTCCTACAGATATATAGAAGATGAAGTTTGCTTACGTAACCACATTTGTTTTTCACATCGACTCCTAAGACTTGGATTTTCCTATTTATCTCAACATCTTTAGGACCTCATAGTTTCTGCCTTGTAATGAAGTGAATAAATCAAAGAGTAGGGTGGACATACGATTTGTAGCCAAGGACTGAACTTTTAACAATATATACTTTCAGCATCCAAAGGCTAAAGTCTGTCACATACACACACATACACACACACACACACACACACACACACATATAAATAAATAAATAAATTTGGGTCAAGTATTGTATGGAGTCCAGATCGATTTCTATGCTGGAAAACATTGTTAAGATGATTTTCCCATATTTCTATAATCTACACTTGTTACACCCTACACAGAAGAGTAGGAGCTAGGAGACAAGATTTTTGGGAAGCAGCCAACTATCTTTGGCTGATGCAAAATCTTCCATATTTATAATTCGGTTTTCTTGCTAACCAGATCGATATTACTGAATGCTTTGTTTTGTTTTAGCAGTATTTTTCATTCTTGTAATAGTATTATATTTTGTTTCCAGACATTTGACCATAGTAAGCAACATAGGTATATACTGAATTTTGATGACATATTATCAGACTGCACATCATAAAAACCTGCCAATACATTCAAAAGTTTGTATAACGCAATTTTTAATTTTAAAAAAATAGTGCCATGGGTAAAGTTATCCAAAAGCAAATCATTGAAGTAACACTGAGTGGAAAGTCATCTGCTTTCCATTTTAGAAATACCCCTTGTTTTTAATATTTTATACTATAATTTGTAGCAGAATATCACACAAAAAGTTATGCTAATATCTGTTTCAGAAAAATGAGAATAAAATTGATATGCCAGATTTAAATACAGCATATGAATTAAACATAAATATGAATTTAAAATAAGTTTCATGAAAAATGAGCAGTACTATTGTACTATCCAATATAAATATTGAATAGCAGTGAGAAGAAATTTTTTTCCAATGAAAGAATCTCCCTCATTTTTTAAAAGTTCATCATTCCCTATTGGATTATATTTATTCTTGTTTCAAGACAGAAACAGAAGTAATCCATCCAACTCATCCCATTTGGATTTGTATGCTCTTAGCATCTTTTATTCTTCTCATTCATGCAAGCCCTTTGATGCTGGTAAAATCAGGAAACAAGGATCATCTGGTTTCTGGAATGATATTTCTTGTTAGTAGGGTAATATAGTAAAATCTTGAAAGACTGCAAGAGCAATTTTCCAGATCATCTTATGATTAACATAATTACTCTGATTTTTTTTCTCATATTCTTACATTCCCCTGGACTAAGACATCTTTTCAGTAATAGTCCTGTTCCCCCTCCTTCTCCCCTCCCCCCATAGTAATCCTGTTCTCTCTTCTACGTTTATAGGGTTTGGAACATTACATCAGACCATTCCATCAGTTAAAGAGAATTTGGGTTCACATGCAATGGTTTTCAGTTACAGTACATTTCCCTGTATTGTGCAATAGCCTCTCACTGGAGATTAGCCTAGTATTTTCTACAATATTGTAATAGATTTGTTCTTTTATTGGTTTTTTTATAATGTTTTAATGACACAAATCATCAGAAGTCATTTTCTGAATCCAGGGGTACATAAACACGATCAATCAATCCAGTTACCTATTATTCATTTCCTTTAATCCTGTATTTTTAATTGCACTGACTTCCTTATCTTCGGATTTACAGAAGCGAGTTTGTAGCTATGTCTTGGATACATTTAAATAACAATATGTTTATTTTCTTGTCTCTATTTACTATACTGAAAGAGAACAATCTCATTTTATATGATAACTTTGAATGTTACTTTCTTATTATGTGTTATAACATGTGGCAGCAGAGTAGCTATCCATAGTTGCTGAATTCAGAAAAGCAAACAGTTAGTTAGCAGTGTTTAGTATAATACATGGATGGGACTCCTTCTCCCCCATCCCCCGCATACCAGAGATGTAGGATGAACTGGAACATTTTTAAAAAGGAAAAAGGAACAGCCTTGGCATAATTCCAGTAGTCGCCAAGCAAAAAATATAAACATGGACAGGAGATAATGTTAATTTAAATAAAACCTTTTCTGCATATTTTATATAACAGCAAACTATAGCATAGTTTTATAGCTGGAAAGCAAAAGAAATTCATAATTACATATATTTGAGCCATCCATAAATTTAGAATTCATCATTTGTAAATAATAATAATGGTTCATTTTAAAATAATGGTTTACATAGGAATAACCCAACAGTCATAGTATACATGGAACTCTTGTCTTAAATACATGTTATTTCTGCACTAATGTATATAACAAAAATGGTATAATTTACTACACACAATAGATTTATTTATCATTTTCTCTTTCATACACTTCATAATTCTGCTGAAACTGCTCCATCTATATGTCAAGTATTGTAATGTTACTGAAAAAGTAAAATGCCTTTAGAAGTTGTGGGTGATCCAACACTTGAGTTTTTAAAAAAGAGATTGGACACCCATTTATGTGGAATGGTATAGAGTTTCCTGCTTGGGCAGAGTGTTGGAATACAAGACCTCCAAGGTTCCTTCCAATTCTGTTATTCTATATTCTGTAACTCAAGAATGTTCATTTCTCATGTATTTCCTATACATTTCAAAGCTATTACTATTACCATTAATAACACACAATAAGTCTAATAAAATAGTGTCTGCCTATAGTGTTGGACTAAAACTCTGCATCCTAAATGTTCTTTATATTATAGCACCATATTTCTCTGATGACATAAAATGGCATGAAATGTGAAATCAAGAAGTGTTTCCATGAGTAAAACAATAATATATACGAAATGGATAAATCTGAAGATTTACGGATAGTACTGAATTTCAATCATGTCTTATACTGCAAACTATCATACATAAAAGTGTGTACTTTAGGCTTGGAGAAATGATTGTGTACTTTAAGCCTGGAAAAATAATATGGTGTTTTGTACTAATGAAAGTCACTATGAACTAAAGGGATCAAGAACCAAAAGACATTCCACTAAGAATAAATGCAGGATCTTTAACATCTCCTTTCCACTTTAACTACAAACACAGTCCTTATTCTGCTTTCCATCTCTGCAGCAGAATTCTCATAAGGAAAAGAATGCAAAAACTTGATATCCTATCTTTATTTTCAGACCACAATTCCACATCCAAACTAAATTGTTCAAAATATCTTTAAAATCCCCAAGTTTGTATCACTTCATAATGCCTCATTGTGCATTGGAATGAATGTTATTTTGGGAATCTGAATGGCCCCACGGATATTTCATCAGTTTTATAGACAGCCATAAAGCAAAATGGTTTGAAATTGTTTTCTAACCATTTTAAATCACAATTTTACCATGAAAAATCAGCTTTACCATGTAGAAAATCAGCTTTAGTAACATAGTTATATGAAATCAATTTTATCAGTTTACACTTTCTAGGGTAAGCGATCATTGTTAATCTTCTCAGAAGCCTAATATCACAAAACGCAATGCCCATGATTCAGAAATGTTATACCTGAAGGATCAGGACATGCTTAGGACACAAGTATAAATATATACAAATATGATTATACATGTCATGTATGTAATTCTTCTAACACTTGCAAAATTGTTTGATAAAAATGCATACATTATCAAATTGATTCATTATGTACCATCAAGTCCTAGTTGGCTCTTAGCAACCACACAGATTGTCTCCATGACAATGAACTGACCTAATCTGGTCTTTCAAGTCTTCCAACAATGCACTCATTACCACTGAGTCCATCAACCCTGCACATTGTAAAAATTGCAAAAGAGATGTTTTATCTTATATATTAGGGGGAAGTACTTGAAATACATATGTGTGGGGGGAAATGAATACAAAATATGTATATTTTTATAAACATATATACATTTCATGAAATGAACTGGTTTGTGGTATTAAAAAATGAAACAGCTATATTCTCCCATGCCTATTTGGCATTATAGCTTTCCTGATTTGTTAATTAAGCTACTTCCTGATTAAAGTTTTTAAGCACAGATGAAGAATGAACACTGAGAGGTTCTTATATGACTCCAGTGATAGTGTAACACAGACTCTGGTGCAATGTTTCACGTATACAAAGCAAAGTCAGACAGAAATATGATATAACTTGATCAAGAAACAGAGAACTCTAAGAATATGAAAAAAGAATACCTTACACAAAGCTATATGAAGTATCATATATGGCATTGGAAATAACTGGAATATCTTCAACAATTTTCCTTATATAGTCCTTTAAAAATAAGCCTCCTCTAAAAAAATCAAATTAGCATTTTAACAACTTTCAAGAGCAGTGCTATTTTTGTATTTTCACACTACAGAAGTTTTAACAGTGAAGTTGTCTCACTGTGCTGCAATCCCTTTGTTGAAGTTTTCCCCCTTTGCAATTTTCATTTCCAATTTAAGCACACCACAACATATACATCTCAAAATCTATTTCATGAATTTGTCTTAAGAGGGTTAAAAAGACATTGTACCATACCATGATACCAAACCTCTGTGGCTGGTTTAAGAAAAATATTAATATTGCTTACCTTCTATTGGCGAAGTGTTCAAGTGTCTACAGAGGCCCTCTGTGTCCCCATACGTCTCCTTAATTTTTACCACTGCTTCCATTCCTCGAAGTTCCATAAGAGAACGCAGATCTTGAAGCGTACACCCAAATTCTCCTGCATGATTGGCCTCATTTCTTTGGTTCTTTGAATAAAAATCGCTGTTTGTCATGTCACCCATTGCTGCTGATAATATTGCTCTGTTCAATGTGCTATGTACAAATTAAAAATTTGTAACGGTAGAAACTCAAATTCCAGCCAAAGAACAAATCCACTTTATGTGAACAGTAACATGAGCAGAGTAAGCAATGAGTGATAGAAATGTCTTCCACCAGATGATAGTCCACAAGATGGCTGTTTTCAAGATTGCAGTCCAATTGCACTCCATTCACTGTTTCCCATTATGCTGTATCCAGACAGTTGGCATCTACATGGTCATTTCTTTTTTCAGACCTTAAGAAACAAATCCAAAAAATGCATTAAAAGAATAAGCCAGGCTTGTAGAAATTCATTCCATCATATCATTCTGAAATGTGCCTGAATAGTACAACTTTAACCCAGAAGAAATGCTAACAGTCTTACAGAGATAGCTCCATATATTTCTGTCATCCTAGCTGTGTCATCCAGAGCACTCTTCCCAGTTTCAGAAGCTAGTGTAACAGTCTTACTTTAATCAAGTCCCAAGAGCACCAGCTAAATGAGATGGCTCATGAATATTAATAAATAAAGCATTAGTCCAACAGCCTAGATGTGCCTCTGGTAGGGATTCTTGTTGAAACTGCTATATCAATCTTTCATCTAACAAAAACACACACAAAAAATCTACTACCTACTAAAAACTATGACTCCTAAACATTAATTGAACATCCATTATAGAAACTATTTTTCATTACAAAGCAAATAAAACTGGAAAAAGAACATTTACATCTCCAATGTTGTATACATTTAAATATATCAAAGCTTGCCATATTGACAGTCTATGGCGATAAAAACAAACAGAAAGAGGAACATTAAAAAAAATACCTGGATGCCTTTAAGGTAAATTTTATTTGACAAAGAGGAAAAGCTGCTTTCTTTCAGCATCACTTTTTATCTGATACCTATAACATGAAAAACTGAACATTTCCTGCAAACCCTAAATAGGCAAACATGCCTACCTGGTTTTAATGTTATTTAGGAATAATCATGGATAAATTTCAAGAGGCAGCAATTTAACAACATATTATAAAATTGTTTCCCGGATATACTTGCTGGTGAGCTTCATATACATCCATAGCCAGCTATTCCACTTCATCACTGAGAGTTTAACTCTCTTAGAGCTTTGTTTTGTTTAAGGGGATTAAAGCCAGTGTATAAATTGAAAAGGGTTTGCTCATTGAAAAACAGACTTTTATAAAAGTTAATATGAATTTTTAATAAGAAACATTAACCATGTGTAGCAATATGCTAGTGCTAGTGCATATTTTATAAAAACAATATATTTTAAGGTACATATAAAAGACATGAAAGTTTAATCTTCCTAATCTGCACCAATAGAACTGTGGAAAAAAATCAGTGGCTGAATATAAAGTCTGAAGAAATGTACACAAACCTCTAAATTACTACTTCATTAATCCTGATTTTTTAAAAATGTAGTCTCTTTCAAACTAATCGTGACTGCTAAAGACTCCATGGATAAGTTTACACCATTTTCTTAGTGAGAACTTTACTATTTTTTTCTTGAATTCGAATTTCCCAATTCAACCTTCAGCCTGAAAATCTTTGGAGGTCTTCTAAGCAAGCACTCACCAAATCCGACTCTCTTCAATTTTCTGAAATCAGCAAAGATCAGAAGGAAGATGAGCCTTATTGGGACATTTAATCCAAAACTGGAAATTATTACAAAAGCTATTTCCCCTTCTAGTTGCATGGCTTCAAATTTCCTACAACTAGACATGTCATATTACCTCTCTCAACATTACCAATGTGCTTGTATGCTATATGAATTCTGTAGGAGAGGAACACCAGAAGCATAGTTGATGGGAAGGTTTCAGCTATGTGCAGAGAGAGAGACAGAGAGACAGAGAGAGAGAGAGAGAGGAGAGAGGGAGAGGGAAAGGGAGAGACCGATTTGCCTTTTTGTATGCAGAAACAATTTACATTGACAACCACTTACATTGGATAACTCTGTAAGGTCATCTCTGATTGACAGACATCTATTTATACTTCTAAATGGATCTTTTTGAATGAGATTAGGTTGCAACATATCATTAAGTCCAAAAGCTTTACTATTTCATGAGGGTTTGAAATATTTACTGTAGCATGAAAAAAAACCCTCCAATGTCTTTTAAGCCTAATGAAATCAATATAGAAGACAGGCATATGATAAATATATGTTAGATATAAATGACAGCACTGATGTCAAAAAAATATTTGATGAAACATGAGTTTTTTCCTGAAAGCTAGGCTGCAACCACTAATCCTTCCTTCTTTAGCATTTCACTTCAGCTTTAAGATATGTTCTTTTTATACCACAATCCACTAATTTTAGAAGTTGTTCTACTGTGAACTCTCTTTGATTAAAAATTCTTGCTGGGATAAACTTAGAAGTAGCTATCTGATTAGGTCTGTCGCCTCCAGCAAACAAGCATTAATACTGCACCTTCGTTCTACCAATATTTGTTCCATCTTTTCTAAAAGTATCATGTCATTTTGACAGCCAACTTTAGGGGTGCTACCTGCTACAAAATAATTTTCCTACTTAATATTTTATTTGAGAATCAATTAAAAATTAACCAACAAACAAAAGACAAAAGAGATGTTTAAGGAACAATTGAAATTCTGTATCAGATAACCTTAGAAAGTTAATATACTGTTGTTTTGTAAAGCATATTCTCATATGGTAAAAGTGTAGAACACAAATAGTACTAGCTATTAACTATAAGTTTTAGGTTCTTATGAAACCTGATAGGAAATCTGTACAAAGAGTTTATGAATTCTACCCCAAAATTAGCACTTTATTACAACTGAAATTCTTCAATACTCTTGCTAATAAGTATGTCACTTCAAAAACATAGGAGTATGTCACTTCAAAAACATAGGAGTATTTCTTTACTCCTTTATTACATTTATTTGTATCTGCTTCACCTGCGACTCTAGGAGGCTCACAATAAAATCACAATAAAATTAAAACACTGAAATAACATAAAATCTAACACAGCCTACAATTTTCAAACAGTCAAACTTCCAATTTTCCCAACTTTGTTTTGTACAATATACAATTCTAGTGATTTTTAATCAAGGGTGGGATTCTACCGGTTCGCACCTATTCGCTAGAACCGGTTGTTAATATTCTAAGCAGTTCAGAGAACCGGTTGTTAGAAGAAATTACTGACCTAATCCTGTAAGGAAGGCAGGAAGGAAACATTCTGGTGTTGCTTACAGAAACTGCCTCTCTGTTAACCCTCATTACATTCTTGGCAGGACTAGACTTCCTGTCTCAGGAACTTCTCTGGAATTTTTTTTCCATCCTTTGGTGGTACTTTGCTAGTATGGAGTGACCATTCAAAGTTACAATGGCACTGAAAAAAGTGACTTATGACCGTTTTTCACACTTATGACTGTTGCAGCATCCCCACAGTCATGAGAGGCCAGGCGAGGAGATGCATGCCTCGATGTGAGTGATATTGAGTTGGCCACACCCAGCCAATAACATGACCACCAAGCCACACCCACCACCTAAGCCACATCCACAGAACCGGTTGTTAAAAAATTTGAATCCCACCCCTGTTTCTAATTCATTAATCATGTGCCATTAAGTCAGTGTGAACTTTTAATGACTACATATTTTCCCCAGGATAGTCAGTGTCCAAGCTGGTCCTTCATATCTCTCAATGGTGCAACCATTACTATTATAACTAGTTCATCCATCTTGCTGTTGGTCAAAATCTGTTGTTGTTTTTTATTTTTCTTTCCACCAGTAGTACAGATTCAGTAGCAATTGAAATCTGGTCATTATGTGGAACTTTTTTGATGAACATTTGCTTCATTTATATTCCATGTTAAGCATTTGTAATATACAAAAAAAGTCAATACATATAACACCTAATTCAGTATCATCCCTTTCACTTTGCTTTTGCACCTATAAAAGTTTTGTAACAGTCACATCTGTCACATCCATTTGTAATGTGTTCTGTTCTTTAAGCTTTTCTAGAAATTATCTTGCTTTCTGCATAGAATTCAGCTGAAACTCCTGCTGTTTGAAAGTTTAAAAAAAAATCACTTCTTCCAGTTTGTTCATCAAAATGTAATATTTTTTCTGTTTATCATTCAGAAAGGAATAGTCATTTATGTTACACAGTATTCTAATCAGAATTTCTTTAAGCACAATTAAATATGTATTATTAATCTTCAATCTTATATTAAAATGCGGCTGTAGAATTTGTTCTGTGGTCTTCTTCCTGACAAATTGTATGAGAACATCCCTTAACTTTCAAGATACTGTATTTATTCTATAAACTTTGTCTATTTCCGCCATGTATCCTCTGTACTCCATTCTTCCAAAATTGACAAAGCTTTAATCACCTTTTCCATAAGTCTTCACCAGGATCCTCTGGGATCATTCTGAATTTCAAGCAAAAATCCTTCTCTTTTAACTCCAATAGTGCAGTTAATCTAAATCTCTCTTTATGCTTTCTTACTGTCCAAAATTTCCACTTTATCTTTAATTTATTTGACATTTAGTCACTTGTTTTACAGAGTTCTCCATCTTTTTTAACTTCTTTTATCTCCTCTTTCATCTTTACTAGTCTTCATCCTTTCGCTCTTCAAAAGTTTTTAATTGAGTATTAAGTGATTCAGACATTTTTTTGCCTAAGTCCTTAAACATTTTCTGAAAGAACTCTGGTACAATTCCTATTTCTGCAAGTTGCTCTAACAACCCCTTCTCCTTTCTACTATTTTTTTCGTTTCTGGTGGTTGCCATTCTAATATTGTAACCCAAAAATAAACATATCCCAATTATAACAGGGAAAGTAAAAGGCAGAGTTCCTTTTTTTTGTCTTTCTATACCCTTTCATCTCAAATGATACTCCATAATCATAGTCACCATCATAATCTGGCTCATATTATCTTTTTCTTTATTTGTAAAATCCACCAATAACATTCCTATGAAGATCAGGTTCACTTGTCTATTTAATTGCAGTATTTTCAAAAGCAGTGGTGGTATTTTACCAGTTCGGCCCAGTTCTAGCAAACTGATAGTGCCAAAGATCAGCTGGCAGAGAACTGGTTCGCTCCGAGTCTCTCCGACATTCTGCAGTTTGGGCTCACCTGCTTGCCCTTGCTCCTAGGTCCTTTTTAATCTCTCAACGGTTTGGTGTGGCAGAACGGATTTCTGTGCTAAACAGCTGAAAAACGCAGTAGCTTAGTTTTTACTGTTTTAAAGCACGAGTCTGGCGTGCGCGAGAGAGTCA